GGACACAATATCTGCTTCGACAAGACGTGCCAATAAAACCGCCTCGCAATATGCGCAGTAGCAGGTTGAGAAAAATGGTTCGAATAATGACCAGGCCATGGCGTGATGTCATGCCGTGAAAAGTTGTCAGCAGATTAGATTTGTGGAATATTGTACTCTCTACGGTGGTATGTGGAATTTGTTTTGCAGAGCTGGACACGATCCTTGTGTTCAAAATCTTCTATGGAGTATTCGGAGAAGGAACCCGCCTTGCAATGCCGAAGACAATCTGCGCGTCGAACTCATCATCATTGAAGCCTAGTTCAGGGGCTACTGAGGGAGTCCTGGATTAGGGTTTAGGGTTAGGACTGTTGGACTATGAAGATATACAAGATTGAAGACTTCGTCCCGTGTCCGGGTGGGACTCTCCTTTGCGTGGAAGGCAAGCTTGGCAATCCGGATATATAGATCTCCTTCTCTGTAACTGACTCTGTGTAACCCTAGCCCCCTCCGGTGTCTATATAAACCGGAGGGTTTAGTCCGTAGGACGGGAACAATAATCATAATCATAGGCTAGCTTCTAGGGTTTAGCCTCTACGATCTCGTGGTAGATCAACTCTTGTAATACTCATATCATCAAGATCAATCAAGCAGGAAGTAGGGTATTACCTCCATCGAGAGGGCCCGAACCTGGGTAAACATTGTGTCCCCCACCTCCTGTTACCATTAGCCTTAAACGCACAGTTCGGGACCCCCTACCCGAGATCCGCCGGTTTTGACACCGACAGCAGCAACAAGGGTATGATGCTGAAGTTGATGATCCAGATCAACAGGAAGCACCAGCACAAGAAAGTCCACCAGCTGCTCCACTCAGAAGATCCAATAGGGGTCGAATTCTTTCCAGCAGGTATCCCTCAGATCAATACGTGGTGTTATTATCTAACGGTTCAGAACCTGAATGCTTTGCAGATGCAATGGAAGATGAGCACAAGAAGGAGTGAAAAAATGCTATGCAAGAAGAGATAGATTCCTTGCATAAGAATCATACTTATGAGTTGGTGAAGTTGCCCAAGGGCAAGAAAATTTTGAAGAACAAGTGGGTCTATAGAATCAAGCAAGAAGAGCACACATCACATCCAAGGTACAAGGCCAGGCTAGTTGTAAAAGGATTCGGCCAGAGAAAAGGCATTAACTATGATGAGATCGTTTCTCCGGTTGTGAAGATGACATCCATAAGAGTAATCCTTGGCATGGCAGCAAGTCTCAACTTGGAGGTTGAGCAAATGGATGTGAAGACTACATTCCTTCATGGTGAGTTGGAGGAAGAAATATACATGGAGCAACCTGAGGGGTTTCTTGTGAAAGGCAAAGAAGACTATGTGTGCAAGCTGAAGAAAAGTCTCTATGGCCTGAAACAAGCACCAAGACAATGGTACATGAAGTTTGAAACTGTCATGGGGGGAGCAAGTCTACAAGAAGTGTAGCTCAGACTATTATGTGTTTATTCAGAGGTTCTCAGGTAATGATGTCATCATATTATTGCCCTATGTTGATGATATCCTGATTGTTGGCAAGAATGTCTCTAGAATTGCTAAGTTGAAGAAGGAGTTGAGCAAATGTTTTGCCATGAAAGACTTAGGTCCAGCAAAGAACATTCTCGGAATGAGAATTGAGCGAGACAGAAATTGCAACAAGTTGTATTTGTCTCAAGAGAAGTATATTGAGAAGGTACTTTAGAAGTTCAGGATGGAAAATGCTAGAGTTGTGAGTTGTCCACTAGCAGCCCATTTCAAGTTGAGCAAAAAGAAATGTCCTACCACTGATGAGCAGAAAAAGGAAATGCATCATGTTCCTTATGCTTCAGTGGTTGGGAGTTTGATGTATGCTATGGTGTGTACAAGGCCTGACATTGCTCATGCAATTAGTACTGTGAGCAGATTTATGTCCAATCCAGGAAGACTTCATTGGGATGCCGTGAAGTGGATTTTGAGATATCTCCAGGGCAGCACAAATCTGAAACTTTGCTTTGGTGATGGTGAGGCCAAGCTGATTGCTTTTTCAGATTCTGACATGGCTGGAGATGTTGACAGAAGGAAGTCTACTTCAGGTTACTTGGTTACCTATGCAGGGGGAGCGGTGTCATGGCAACGCAGGCTGCAAAAGTGTGTGGCATTGAATACAACTAAAGCTGAATTCATTGCTGTAACAGAGGCGAGCAAAGAGCTATTATGGCTGAAACGGTTGGCTTGTGAGCTTGGTTTTAAGCAAGACAAGTATGTGTTGTTTTGTGACAACCAAAGTGCTATCCACTTGAGTAAGAATGCAAGCTTTCATTCAAGGTCTAAGCATATAGAAGTCCGTTATCATTGGATTCGAGATGTGTTGTATTCCAAGCAGATGCAACTTGAGAAGGTTCACACCGATGACAATGCGGCTGATATGTTGACTAAAGTGGTGACAAGGAAGAAGCTTGAAGTATGCCACCGGTTCGCTGGCATGGCTGCCGGAAGGCAGTGAGACCCTCCATGATGTCGGGAGGGGGAGTTTGTTGGGCTAAGTCCCTCCACATGGAGGTGTGTTGGCAGCCCAACATCAGCCCATAAGTTCAACACATGTCAGCCTTTGATTCTCGCTGCATCCAACGGTTGAGAGTGCTTCCAAGGGAAGTGAAGCAAGGAGAAAACCCTAGCCACCCCACCTCTTGCTGGTGGTGGCTTCCATTCGTGAGAGTGAGAGAGAGAGAGCAAACAAGAGAAAACACAACCTGAGAGAGAGGAAGAAGAAGAAGCAGATGTTCTGTCCAGATTTGGTGCATCTGACTAGACAGTGTTCAAGCTGGTGGTTGGAGGCTCAAACGTGCTTGGATCGACCCCAAACTTGGTGAGATCGTTCCTTACTTTGAGTACTTCGATCTGGTTAGCTGGTTTGAGGTTTGGGTCAGTGGAGCATCATATTTGAGAGTGGTTTCGTCAGCTCTCACTGCTGCAGTTTCAGAACAGAGTAGTTTTGGGAGACGAACAGTTTGGGTAGGCAAATGATGTCCGATTGAGCTGAAATTTGGAGGGGATGCCAAGAACTCATGTGTCTACTTGTCTACAAAATTTGGTGCTGTTTGGTTCAGCGGTTTAAGAGCAGTTTACAAAACACTGAAGGGTACAGAAGCTGTGTAAACTCTGCTTTGCTGAAATCTTGCTTCTTGTGGTTGTTGTTGCTGTTGCCGATTGACAACGTGGAGAGTGTGTTGTAAATCTCTCTAGAGGTTCTAGAGAATACTTTGTACTCATCATTCTCATAGTGAAGTTGTGTGGACCGGTCGGTCCACAGCCGTGGTTTTTTACTCCTCAAGTTGAGGAGGTTTTTCCACGTTAAATCATGTGTCACCTGTGCATGCTGTTTGTGTTATTCCGCTGCTTACTTGTTGGTTGAAGCTGTCCTCAAAGTTCATCACAAGTGGAGGGGGCTGTGTAGTATGCATATTTGCCGTGTCGGTGAATTTGTGCAGCGCATTGTTGCTGTCCAGCCCCAACATCCTGCTCACTTGGATTCGATTACGCTTGTGTAATCTGATCCCCTATACTCTCTCTCTCTCTCTCTCTCTCTCTCTATCTATCTATCTCTCTCTCTCTCTCTCTCTCCTGTCTATCAATGAAATCATACGCTTCGGCACCAATATTCGATGATCAAAGTCTGAAGTAGTTACAGTGGCAAGGCGGATCACCCAACTAAAATAAAATTATCTAACATAAGTCGCATGCAAGTTCCCTTACTCCTTAGACACTTCCATTTAGACATATGTTGGATACACTTTTTAGAAATGCCATCAGTACGGAACAAACTACACCATCTATATTTCAAGTAGTCTGCTGATGATGGAATGGTCCATCGGGAGAAAGTGAGATGCGCACAGACTGAAAATTTCCAATTCCTTTTAGCTACTTGGTAGTCAATGCATGCAATCTTTCTCTCATTTGTATGCTTCATTGTATATTTTTAGTTCTGATAAATTTTGCATACAAACATATGTTAATAAATGTTTCACTTATATACACCTATCTAAAATTGGCTAGCCCGTGCAAACGCTCGGGTTGATGACTAGTGTTCACAAATCATGATGTATATTTTTGTAGGTGCTCATGTACATGAAGCACATATATGATTTTTGAGAATTGTTTAGGATGTATAATTAGCTAAACTCTGAATTCCACCCATGCAAAACTATTTTTAAAGTTTAATAAGATATATAAAAGTTGCAAGGTTTCGGCATTTACGTAAATTATGCTTTGAAAGGTGAAGACATATAAAACTTGCACGGTTTTCGGTGTTTACGCAAATTATGCAATAGCTGAGTTCAGGGACAGAAAGTACTTTTTCTTAATTGTATAAACAATGTTATTATTGTGTTTTATATTGTTCAATCTGTTTATGCCGGCCGGTAGGTTACCTTTTTTTGAGGGACCGGTGGGTCACTTTAGTTGATTAATCGCATTGTTTTTGTCAATATACTCCCCACATGCATGTGACAATCGCTAGAGTTGGACATTCGCCGTCGCATTCACAGCTTTTTCACGGATGAGCTGGCTGATAATTGTTGGTATGTACGTCTGCTCAAATTGTACAAGAATTACTTAATTCCTGCCATTCTTATAAATCTAACCACCCTACAACATGCATGCATGTTACCCTCAAAAGCAGCTCAGGATTATGTGCTTGATTAGAGAATGTTGTTGCCAGTGCAGATTAATTATTTGATTCAAGGCCACTTGTTCCACGATTGGATCTAACTGTATAATAGTAGTAGTACAAATTAGCTGCCGGCCACTTGTTCTACGATTGGATCTAACTGTACAATATTATTAGTAGTACAAATTGGCTGCCTAGCTTGCAGCTGCTCCATCACTTGCCTAACCCCAAGCATTATAGGCGGCATCAATTGGTAAGCCTCTTCCACACAACTAGGTACACAGCAAACACAAGACCTTGCTAGATAGGATCATAGGAGAGCCACAACCGAGAGGGCAATAATGGCGGAGTTCGCACTTGGGCTGACCAAGACGGCGGTGGAGGGGACGCTGATCAGGGTCAAGTCGGCGATAGAGGAGGAGGCCAAGCTGAAGGTGAGGGTGCAGCACGACCTGGTGTTCATCACAGGCGAATTTCAAATGATGCAATCGTTCCTCAACATCGCTAACACCGAGCGTGCCAAGAATGAAGTGGTGCAGACCTGGGTGAGGCAGATCCGAGACCTTGCCTTTGATGTCGAGGACTGCGTCGAGTTTGTTGTCCACCTCGACAACAGGTCCACCTGGTCCTGGCTGTGGCGTGTGCTGCCGTCCTGCATGGCGCCGCCGCTGCCCCTTGACCTGGCGGTCGCTGAGATAAAACAGCTCAAAGCCAGAGTCGAGGATGTAAGCCAGAGGAACACGCGCTACAACCTCATCACTGACTCGGGTTCCAGCTCCTCCAAGCCTGAAGTCTCACTTCCGGTGGTGGTGCCGCCGGCCACTACCGGCTCAGCTTTCCACATCCTGAACGAGGTGTGGGACGCCATGGGTAAGCGACGGGGCATGGGCGACCTCACAACACTCATCATGAGTGAGGACACTGGCCTGCTAGTGATCTCGGTATGGGGAAGTAGTACCGGAGGTGCAGATCTTGGGAAGACGTCCATTTTCAGGAAGGCGTACTGTGATCTTGAAATCTGCAAAGAATTCAAAAATCGCGCTTGGGTAAAGCTGGTGGATCCATTTGACCCCGACGAGTTCCTCAAGAACGTGTTGGCTCAGTTCTTCCCGACATCTCACCAACCAAATAATGCAGATCATGTAGACTTCCGCAAAATGATGAAGGAGGCGGTGGTTAAGGAAGACAATCTCATGAAGGCCGAGCTCATGCAGCAAGTAAGCGATGAGCAACGGTATCTCATCATTATAGAGGAACTATCTGATGTGGTACAGTGGGATGCCATCAAAATGTGCCTGCCAGAAAGCAACAATGGCAGCCGAATCGTCGTGGCAACACATGACTTGCGGATTGCACTTTTGTGCACGGGGAAGCCGTACCAAGTATGGGACCTCAAACACTTCTCTGATGGTCAATCTCTCTGTGCCTTCTCCCTAAAGGTTAGCACCAAAGACAATCAACTACTTTCACAAACTTTAGTGCTAGTCATAAGTTTGTGGTTAATTCCCGTGCGATACTCCCTCGTTTCTTCGTTTACACTCTTTGACTTTAATATGTGATCGGTACTTATATATATCGGTCCACTGGAAACTGCATCCCTACATTTCTCATAACAGAATACATTACATATATAGGTTGTAGTTTATTTATTTTTGTTAACATGTTACTACATAAAAAAAGTAATGGTCAAAGATGATGACCCACACACGTTGCTGCAGGAACCGTGTCAAAACAAGTGCATAAATAGGTGTTTAAACAGTGAACACTAAGTAGTAAAATGAATGTAAGAGTGTTGTCGATTTACATTTAAATAAATCCTATGAAGTATGTGGCCAAATTATGTATACAAAGATAAAAAAAATATTTGTATTGAGCTTAGGGTGACACCATCTTCCACAAAAAATGTGAAGTATGAACTATATATTTTTGCTCCAAGCGTTCAACACATATACCATTCATGACCATACAAAAATCAACACAAACAAAAAACTTGTGACTGACATGCATGACTTGGTTCCCTGAAGAAAAAGACATGCATGACTCGATGGAGTGATATAGTTTGCATGGATATTCTAATGCAAAATTGTAACTTATGTGTACATGCATGACGTGAGGATGCAAGGAAATTTTGATCAGAGGACTATTAATAACTGAGGGGATGCGGTACGTGGAGGAAAATCTAGTAGTAGGGATATCTATTTAGATATAGAAGACTCTCTGCTAGTTCATAAAGCTGCTTCTAGTTTAAAGGGGCTACTTCAGTACGGAACATATGGTGTAAAGTGTTAAGCTAGTACGCATTTTGGTGAATTGCAGTTTTAGTTGGAGTACAATTTAAGTTAGGAAGTGCATACCTAATCACGTTTGTAATTTACTTTATAATTTGAGATTCTTTTCCAAATGTGGATATTGATCTATTATCTACAATCAAATATCTATGGTCTCGTATTCTTTAAGAATCTTGAATGTTAGGCTTGGCACAAGTAATCCTGCATTTATTTACCTAACAGGTACCGGTAAAACCGTGTCTATCATAGCTTGCCATAGAACTTGTTTAGACTCGCTAAGCTTTTAATAGTTTAAAAGTTATCAAAGAATATGAAATAAATAGTGGAGCATCTCTCTAATGTAATAAGATGATCCAATGGAGGGATTCTGAAAATATGCATATATGTGTCCTCGGCAAAAAAAAAAACAAGCATTTCAGCTCACAGCGATATAAATATATACTGAACTACTTGTTTATTTGTCCAGGACACATAAAGTTGTATTTTTTCAATCGCTCCATTGGATCATGTTATATTATAGGTGTGTTGTTTTAGTTTTTTTTCAAGATTTTTTGGAAACTTTTACGCCGTTGAAAACCTTAACTAGTTTTGTGTCAAGCTATGATAGAAAATCCTACTCCAATAGGTACCCACATATATTTTCTCAAAAAAGAAAGATACCCATATATATTTTTTAGTTGGGACGAGAGAATCCTTCCATAGGGCCTTACCTTAATGAATGGGAAATTTGCACAACTCAGAAAATTTCAGCGGTGTGCTGTGCCATCAAGAAATTAATTAGATCTCTTGAGTGTGATCATAGGAGGAAACGATAGATGCACTTAATTCCCGCAATAATTTGAGGTGAAAACAGAAAGAAATCGTCCATATTACAGTCATTCTGCTGCAAGATCCATTTTGTTGGAACTGGTATCGATCGAATATCTGTATGGAGCCACAGTTGTAGTCTGGGTCTAGTATAAAAAGCACCGCCTGATAGCTTAATAGACTAGACCAAGCTGATAGGCTAAACACCAGAACATGAGTGGTATGAGACATAGACCTTAGCAGCGTTTATTGTCGATTGTATTATTCCGATTTAATATGGGGAGGAGTACCTGAACAAGAGCTTCCGGATATGCATGTGCGCTTGCCGAGCTAGGTCATCAAACATCCACTCACCGTCTACTTATTCTGAAATGATTCGACCGCTCTAATCCTAACATGTTTTTGAAAAAAAACATGGTAAACTGTCAGAACTAGTCCAGCTAAACTAGGAAATCAACTTCCCTGACCCCAGTTGGAATTTTAGGTTCTATGCATTCGCAACTAAAATGTGCAGAATGAATAAAATTCTCTCATGTTGTTGGTCATGGGACGGAAGGCAAGAAAGTTGCATTTGTTGCATCTCTCCATATTAATTATGCATGTTTTCCCTCTTTACGGGTTTAACAGCTTCCTCTGGATTTCTTCATTTTCTTTGCAGACACCTGAATCCGTTGAAGGCAAGCATTCTTGCAGCAGTGGCAGAACAGAAGAGCTTCACGACCGGGTCGAGAAGTATCATGTTTACCGTGGAATCGATGAACATAAATGCCTTATGGGATGTTTAGGAAATTCTGGTGTGACTTCTATGTGGGGGATTGCTGGTGTTGGAAAAACACATTTCGCCCGGCTTGGATATGACGAGATGCGTCATAGCTCGAAATTTATGAAGTACATCTGGGTCGACATGCCATATCCGTTCAGTCTGACTGAGTTCTCCATACACTTACTTTCCGATTTCCACTCGTATGATCTTGAAGCCAAAGAATCTGCAGCAATCGGTGTAATTGAAGGCCAAGATCCAATCCAAGAGTGTTGTAAGATTTTACGTGAAGAAAAGTGCTTCCTTGTTATAGATGGTGTACGGTCCACGTATGACTGGGACTTGATAAAAGGCGCCTTCCTAACCGACCCTACTCAGAATAACAATACCATCGTGGTCATTACAAATGAAGCAAGTATCGCCATGCATTGCACACCTGAGAAAGATAAAGTCATAAACATAAAATGTTTTAACGCCGGCAAAGCCCGTATGCTCTTCACGAAGGTGCGTTTACTCTCAAGCATTGATGTACTTCGGTTCAACAAATCTAGCTAACTTCTGTCATCCTTAGTACCGTGTATATTATGGAGATGCATGTTACCCATTTGGATTATGGCATGAGTTTAAAATTTAATTGTACATTTGAAAAACGTTAGAATAAAACACTCAGCTCACAAAATCATTTTATTTAACCACATCTTTCTTATACCAAACCGAGGTAGTTTCCATATCAATAGTGTATGATACATATAAATTCAAAGAGTGGAAATATAGTTACAATTTAAAAATACAGAAAAATAATTCCCACTTGAATATATAGTGCACATGTCAGCAAGTGAACATGCTGCGATTTATTCCACACTGTATTTTATCTCTCTGAGCACAATTTCAGGTCTGTTACAGGTTTCACAGTTAACCCTTGAATTTGATTTGGTGTTCAGTTCAATTAACTTAATTGTAAATGGAAGTTTGATACTACGCTGGTGTCCTTAGCAGATTGATTTGTTTATGCATATATTTCATTATTAATATATTACTGCACTGTTTTTCGACAAAGGAAATATATTAATATCGCAAAGATAATATATTACTGTACTGTAGGTAAACTGTGAGCGCATTCTATTGACTCCCGAGTTGACGAAGGTTTCAAACATTATCGTAACCAAGTGTGGCGGGCTTCCGAAAGTAGTACTAGCTGCTGCTAGCAAATGCTTCATACCGATCTCCAGATATGATGTACTAGATCACATGGAGCATATGAAAGCTGATTTTATGGATATTTTGGAGACTGATCCTACCCTGAACAGTTTATTTTCTTGGATGCGGTCATATTTTGATGCTTGCTCGGATTCAGTCAAGCCATGTATCTTCTATCTGTCAGTCTTTCCTGCAGACCAGGATGTCAGAAGGAGGCGTCTGCTGAGGCGTTGGATCGCAGAGGGTTACTCGAGGGACAAATTTGGTGACACCGCGGAGGAGTACGGGGAAATTTTGTTCTCCGAGCTTGTCAAGTTGAGCATAATCCATCAGGAAGAAAATAAGGTCTTGTGCCAAGTCAATGGTTTCTTCCGTGAATACATCATCTCACGTCCAATGGAAGAGAACCTTGTATTTGCATTGGAGGGACGTTGTAGCCCGAACTCGCAACACACAGGACAACACCTTGTGGTAAGGAGCAGCTGGGACAGGGACATAACTGTGTTTGAGAGCATTGATTTCTCGAGGCTACGGTCTTTGACAGTGTTTGGGGCATGGAAGTCATTCTTCATCTCTACCAATATGAGACTGCTACGGGTGCTTGATCTGGAAAACACGTCAGATCTAACAGATGATGATATCAACAAGATTGATAAGCTACCACCTCGCCTCAAATTCCTCTCACTACGAGGATGCACAAATGTCAGCCGTCTGCCCATCTTGTTGGGTGGCCTCAGGCAGCTGCAGACACTTGATGTCAGGTACACCTCTATAGTCACACTACCACCATTTATCATCAAGCTGCAAAAGCTACAATACATTCGCGCCGGCACTAAGGATATGGTGGAGGAAGTAGCACTGGGAGGAGATGATGATTCATCAACATCAACAGTGCCACCTGAAGTCGACGGTATTGGCACGGTCACAATCAACAACCCACCAACATCAGCAGGTGTGATCGAGATATCAACATCGTCATCCAAGAGGAGGCCTGCACGTACTTTGGTATCAAGCTGGTTATCCAAGTTGCGCAGGCGAAAACTTCATAATGGCGGTGTTGAGATCCCTGTAGGTATCGAGAAATTGACGGCCTTGCATAACCTTGGTGTTGTGAGAGTGAAAGGTGCACATGGGAAGGCCATCCTGGAGGAGCTCAAGAAGCTAACCCAACTGCGCAAGCTTGGGGTGTCCGGCATCAACCGTGATAACTGGCAAGAGTTGTGTTGTGCCATCTCGGGCCACGGCCATCTAGAGTCCTTGTCGGTGCAACTCGGCGAGGATGAGGAGGAGGCCGGTGACTTCTTAGTGTGTTTACCCAAGACCTTAAACTTAAAGAGCCTTAAGATTTTAGGGGGGCAATGTCAAATACCAGCCTGGGTGAAGCAACAGGACAATTTCAAAAAAATTGAAAATTTTGATCTTGAATTGACCGTATCGACGCAAGCCCACATGGACTTGATTGAAGAATTGCCATGCAAGAAGTTCCGTCGTCTTCGTGTCAAGCCAACTCAAGACGGCGAGCTCCATTTTGGTAACCCAGCATTATATGGTGAGTGGGATGCGTTCGTGCCCTTCACCGAGCCACTTGACTTCAAGGTCATCAAGATTGATTGCCGCTACAGGTTAGAGGTAACTTTTGCTCCTTGGTTGCCATTATATGTCAAGTCGCTCAAGGTTCAGTGCTCTAGTGGATCGTCTCTTCGTCTCTCGGGCCTACATCGTCTATGGGGCCTTAAAGAAGTATGGCTTACGGGTTCATACGGCGACGAGCTGAAGCAAGAGTTGCAGCAGGAAATTGCTGTGCATCAACACAAACCTGTCCTGAAGCTGGAGAAACAACGTTCGTGACCATGCATCTCCCAAACCAAGAGGACATATCGTGTGCCATTCAACGCAGAAATGCACGCTTCTTGTTTAGCTTCTGCTTTATATTATTAGTGCATTACGGCAGTCCTCACAACTCATACTGCTGCTGCCCGATCTCCCAACAAGACGCCACCATAGAATTGGACAATGCATGATGCAGCGTGAGTTTGGTGATTTTGCTGGTGTGCTCTATTATTTTTGTTTGGTCGCTGTGTGGTTCAGTATTTTTGCACCTTTTTTCGCATGATTGTACAGGGATTTGATGAACTTATTTAGGCCTCCGGCTCTGTTTGATGTGTTTCTAGATTATAGTTGGGTTGGTTGATGTGGATTAGTTGGGATGGACACCGAGACACGCTGGCCCGTCCCGTATGTCGCCGACCTCGTCACGGCGCGCGTGCTCACCGCCGCCGCTCGCGAGATCATCCTCCGACACGGCGCACTTCGCATGGTCCTAGTCGACACGCGAGGTGTGATAGTGGACGCGCGTTACTTGCACGAGGGGGAGCGCATCGAGCCGGATCAGGTCATTTCCTTCCCATGTCACCGGGTTGACCGATCGTCATGCACGGAGGCGCTGGGGGTGGGGACATGCATGCTGGTGGGGGAGGGGAGGGGAGGAGCCATGCAGCGGCCGGATGTGCTACATCTGGCAGCACGTGAGACGCTGAGGTGGATCCATGGCGGTCTCACCGCCATGGCGGGCCCGGATCTGACCAAGGGGATGAGCTGGCCACGGGATGCGGAGGGGGAGCGGCCGCCTCATATTCCCACCTACACCCATTATCGTCAGCCGTGATTCACATCTCGCTTCTCTCTTTGGGCACCTTTGGGAGAAAACTAGGGTTTTCCATCCCTCTTCTTCCCCACGAGATTCCTTCGGTTGGTGGCGCGGCAAGGTTGGCGGCGACGAGCGCTCCTTTGCTTAGGTGGTGGGTGCGCGCACGCGTGGGCGCGGTACCTCGCCCGCATCAATGGGGGATTGAGGTGGAGGCAGATCTGGAGGGTGGCACGACACCTCGGCGCGTGGTGGATTTGGGGGAGGGCGCAAGGCGCCGCAGCCGAATTCGACTTGTCATATGGTGTGGCAGTGCCCGGATCCACCACCGCCACCGACTGGAGGGGCGAGATCTGGCGGAGGTGCTGAGGATCGATGGGAGGTTGCGGCTCGGGCGATGAGAGGGGACGCCAAGGTGCGGCCGAATGCGGCGACGTTGATGGTCAAGACGGGGCCATCGGCAGCAACAGATGCGTCAGAAACTACTACCAAGATCAACATCAAGCTCTGCCTCAACTGCAACCTCCCAGGTCATTTTGCTCCTCGTTGTCCTACTGTTCGTTGTGAGAAATGCAATAAGCTTGGTCATATGGCTCAGTTGTGTCAAACACTGAGGCCTTGGGAGTGTGTGCCTCTTCTCTGTCGATTTCAGTCCCCTGGACAGGGTTTCTTCTATATCCCTGATATGTGCGCTGCCAAAAAATGAAAAAACTAATAATGTGGTGATTTCTATTGTGGAGGGGAGTGCTACAGCTAAAGAGATCGAATTAGAGTTTAATGGTTTCTCTGCTCATAAGCTTGGTAAGAATAAATGGAGCTGTACTGCTCGTCCTATTGGCCATAACTAGTTTGTTATGCGATTTCCTAACGCTAGTGAGGTGGAGAGGACTTGCGGCTATGGGAAGTGTTTGCCTGTGAAAGATGGGGCGGCTGTGGTTAGCTTAAAACCTTGGTCAGCTTCCTTGTGCTAAAGGGGAGATGGAAAAAGCCTGGGTTAGAGTTAGTAATATTCCCTTAGAGAAAATGTGTTCTGAACATGTTGCTTATGATGGAGGATTGGTGGGTATTACTCTGGAGGTAGATGAATCTACTTTGCATAAACCCGAGTATGCTAGAATTCTCCTGGGATGCAGAGAGGTTAAAAAAATTCTTCCTCTGCTGAGGGTATGTTGGGTGAACAATTTTATGAATTTTTCTATGAGGTTGAAAAAATTGTGGTGGTTGGTGGTGATAAGAATCAATTTTCTGTAACTGTGGACAGCAGTGCCTCTCCTTCTTTTCCAAAGAAAGCCGGGGTGAACTCATACCCTGCTTCTTCTGATGGTCAAGGGGAGACCAGTGCATCTATGACTGGGAATTTTTCATCTCAGAATTATGATAACGGGGCGCAGAGATTGTCTGCAGTGGCTGAAAGTGAGGAGGGGAACCATACTGAACTATTACTTGAATCTATGGCCAGAGAATATGCAACTAGAAATCTGTCCTATTCTGATTCCCAGTAGAAAAAGATTCATATGAAAAGTCTGAAGAAATGGAGGAAGATGATATGGATATGTCTCCTAATGCTGCTGGCAACGTGAAAAAAAGGTGCTTGGGACATCATCCAAACTCCTATTCTTCCTCCTATGTTTATGCTGGTAACACTTATGGAGAAAAGTTTCCTCCCTTGTTAGATTATGTGGTGTGGCCATCTCTGCCCCATATTGTACCCCTTGATGAAGGGTCTACAGAAGGGGGAGAAAGCTACAATGCTTACATTGTGGAATCTCCATCTGGGTCACCAATACATGAAACAGTGGCTCCTGAAGACTGGGCTTCGCGCAGGCAATTTCAAAAACTGGAGCATGTGGAGGAAATGGCTACCAACAGGCTTAAGAAGCGCGATGCTGAAGGTAAAAAAATGCCCCACTCGAGCAATCAATTCTCTGTTTTATCTGATAGTGCCATCGTTGCCTGGGCTTCCATGATGGGAGTTCAAATACCTGATGATAACTTTGATTATATAGATGTTTTGCGTGAATTAGAAATATCCAGGAACTTGTTACGTGATAAGAAGATCGAGTCTAATCCTCCTCCTATTACTATCAATGATGGGTTGGGTAACGATATTCCTCTGGTTTTAACCTGGGATAATGAAAGCATAGACGATGAGGGACCATATACCCTTGTGTAGTCTAGGCAAAAAAAGAAAGAAAACTCAGCGTAGGAAAAAAGTGACTGTCTTATCTACTACAGAATTGATAGACCTATAACAAGGAGTCAAAAAATGGGGATGGTAAGGCTGCCCTGAATCCTGGCAGACCTACTAGAGAGAGGGGGAAACCTGAACGATATAAATGATAGGAATATTTTGGAATTGTAGGGGGGTAGGTAAGGAAGGCATGTCTACCTGCCTCACTGATATTATTAATGCCAATGGTGTTGATTTTATTGGTCTTCAAGAGACTATGAGAAATTCCTATAACCCTTCCTTTTTTAGGAAGTTGGACCCTGGACAAAAAATTTATTGGGAATGGGTACCTTCTAGGGGCAAATCTAGAGGTATCTTGTGTGGTATCAATAAAGATAAATTTGATCTTATTACTGTTAAACATGGTAAATATATCCTTCAACTGGACCTCTTTGATAAAAGTAAGAAATGTAGCTGGTCTCTGATGGTGGTATATGGAGCAGCTCATGATGAAAATAAACCTGAGTTTATAGCTGAGCTATCACATATGTGTAATAGTACCCACATCCTTTATTTGGTGGTGGTGGGTGGGGGGGATTTCAATATACTTCGACACAGTGGTGAGAAGACAAAAAAACTCCCATGTCTCATTTTTCTGATGTATTTAATTTTGTCATCCACTTGCTGGGGCTTAGGGAGATTTGCATGCTCGGAGGGTGCTATACTTGGTCCAACAAACAGGAAAACCCTACCCTGGAAAAGTTGGATAGGGTGTTGATGTCCTCTGACTGGGAGGATTTGTATCCCCTTGTTTCGGTTAGTAAACTTGTTAAGGAACTATCTGATCATAATCCCTTGCTGTTGGATGGGGGTTTAGCCTCTTCTAGAGCACCAGGTTATAGGTGCTTTAGATTTGATAACAACTAGCTTAATAACCTGGACTTTTTACCTTTGGGTGCTGATATTTGGTCAAAACCTGTGTATACTGATGATCCCATTGACACCTTCAATATTAAACTGAAGAGAATTAAGAAACTTTTTAAAGGGTGGGGATCCAAGATTTTTGGGCATAAAAAAATCAGGAGAAACATCATTAAGCTTGAGTTGCAAGAATTGAAAGGGCTTGAGGAAACTGTTGGGTTATGTGGAGAGGCTTATACCAGAAAACTGGAGATATTGATAGAGCTAAATAACATGTATGTGGAGGAAGATCTGTATTGGCATCAATTCTCTAATGAGAGATGGCTCCTGAAAGGAGATAACAATACAGTCTTTTTTCACAAAGTAGCTAATGGACGTCGTAGGAAACACTCCATGATCTCACTTGAATGTGGATCGATCATTATATAAGGGACTAAAAACCTCATAGCTCATGCTACCGATTACTATAAGGCCCTCTTCGGACCAGCTCCTAGTAATCTATGTCATATAGACAAAAACCTTTGGTCTCAAGAGGAGAAAATCTCTCCCGGGGATAATGATAACTTGACTCGGCCTTTTTCTATTGATGAAATTAAAAAGGTTGTGTTTGATATGAAATCTAACCGTGCCCCTGGGCCAGATAATATTCCTGTTGAATTTTATCAACATTGCTGGGAAGTTGTAACCCCGGATCTATTTACTTTGTTTGAATGGTTCTATGAGGGGAGATTGGATGTGCAAAGATTGAACTATGGCATTATTACTCTACTGCCCAAGTCGACTGATGCTAGTAGAATCCAACAATATATACCAATTTGCTTATTATGTTGCCCATACAAGCTTATCACCAAGGTCATGGACCTTAGGGTTAGTAAATATGCTCATAAGTTGTTTAGCATACAGCAAAATGCTTTCATCAAGGGGAGGCACATAGTGGACGGCATCTTATCTCTACATGAGGTTATACATTATACTCATGTTAAAAAGCAAATGGGGGTTGTTCTTAAGCTTGATTTTGAGAAAGCTTACGACAAAGTCAATTAGGATTTTTTGCTTGAATGCCATGTAAAACGTGGGTTTAATCAAAAATGGTGCGGGTGGGTATCTCAAATC